CGTATGTATATATATATATGTGTGTATGTTTACACAGCTGTTTTCATATTGATGTACACATGTATACATCTTCATTCCCAGAGAAAATAGATATGTATATATACATATATACACACAAGTACTCATGTATACGTCTGTATATAGATGTGTACCTCCATATGTCTAGAAATTATTATAGATCGTTACATTCATTCTTCGAAGAATATAAAGACTCCCCCCCTACCCCTCCCCCACCCCCTCCTCCCGCAATTGACAGCGCCCCTTTTCGTATCACCATAACTTGCACATGGTCCTGCCCCATGGTCCATTCTAAATATGAAACGAACTCGCGCCATCCCAGGCAGGCTGGCACCTCCCCTCCTCGCCCTTTGCAAGTCATGCAATGCGCGTGCACTCGCATATCAGAAACCGCCAGTACCCAGTAATCCTTCGCAACAGCGCTGGGCGAAGTGCGCGCGCGCGTTGTCACGCGCCCGGGTGCCAGAAACAATCGACATCTTTCGGCGCCGCGTGGATTGCAAAATCGGGCGCGCCCGAAACGCGCGAACCCGCGTTGTTTCGCAGCCATATTTCCCCCCACGCAGGAAACTTGCGCCCGTTTGCTGGATATTTGATTCAGAAATCCAGTAGGTGCTTCAACATCTTTATATCATGCTACCAAACGGATCTCTCTCGCGCGCGCGTTGAATCGGTCGAGCGCCCCTGGGCGCGTCATGTCGCGAGATTCCCCTGCGACAAATTGGATGAAGCGCGCGCGCCTCGTCCTCGCGCGCGCGCAGGATCTGCGAAACCAACAGAAAAAGCTTCAGGGTTCGTCAGAATTTTAAGATCGAGCGCCCCCAACGCACATGGAACGCACGCGGGCTCGCGACATTAGTTTTCAACACAACAAAAAAAAAGAAGCCAGCGCGCACGCCCCTCGCGCCGCATGTCGGAAGCATGCGAACACCCTTGCGCGCGCGCCGGGGGTCGCGACCCGCGTCGGCAGATGCCGCGCGGGCCACTCGCGCATCGGACGCGCGCGCGTGTCGAACTCGTTCCAAGGCCCCCATCGCCAACGCGAGGGCGCCGTCATCGTCGCCGGCGCGATCGGCATTGGCGCCGCCGCTGGCCTTGCCGTCGTCGTTTTCAGCATCGCCACCAGCATCGTTACTATCACCATCGTGTCTACCGTTGTCGACGTTGTCATGATACCGCGCTCTTCCAAGTCGCCGACTCGCACTGAAATGCCCGCTGGGAAATGCCCGGCGGTCAGCGCCACCGCAGCCGCGTCGGTCGCGCGAAGCTAGCTTGCCGCCGCGCGCGCGAGCACGCGCGGGCCAGCGCGGCCGCAGAGATGTGCCAGCCAACGCCAAGCTCTCATTGCAATCACCGCCGCATGGCATCGCAAGCCAAGTTGCGGGCGGGCTGGCGGGGGGTGGCGCGAGCAGTGGAGTCGGCGGACTCAAGTTCGGCAGGGTGAATTCTGTTTTCTCAAAGAAGTGTAAGATCTATTCCCCCTTCACCCCCCCCGCCGCGCGCCCTTTGAACTGACGGCTCCCACTTTCGCATTGCATGTCGCATATAATTTTGCCCCGTCGTCCTTTTTAGATATGAGTTCTTTTCATCCCAGGCAGGCTGGCGCGCGCCCCCCCCCCCCCCCCCCCCCCCCCTCATCATATTTGCCCAGAAATATGATGCGCGATTTCGCTGAGCACAAGGCAAAATGACGAAGTGCACGCGCGCGCGTCGTCGCGCGGGCATGCCGAAATTCATCAAAAACCATTGAATGCGCAAGGATGTCCAAATCGGGCGCCCCGACAATGCGCAGCAGGCATTTGGTTTTGCAACGAGAAGGTTCAGCACAAGCTTGCGCTCGAGCTCCTGCGAATTCTTAAGAGGCGTATGTTTTGCAGTTTCATAACTTGCTACCATGCGGGCCTGTCGCACGCGCATGTCGGAATCGCTCGAACACCCTTTTTTGTTCGCGTGTTGCCGCAATGATACATTGGGAAGATTGGGCGCAGTTCGCGCGCGCCAACAATCCTTATGCAGCGTCCGGTTTCGCAATATGTTCAACATCGAATGCCCCTCAAACGCGCCAACACGCTCGCAACAAGAATGTTCGAACCAAGCATGCGTTGGGTCTCTTGCCAATTATTGGGACAACCGTCGATTGCATTCAAACTTGTCAGAGCTTGCTACCAAGCAAACCTTTCGCGCGCACGTGTCGGAATCGCTCGAAAGCCCTTGCGCGCGTGCTGTCGCCGTACTCTTGCAGAGAATGGGGCGATGTGCGCGCGCGCTGTCGCGCGCGCGTGCCGAAACCATGAACAAACCGCACGCCCCGTAGAGATGCCAAAATCGAGCGCCCCAGGAGTAAATAAACACGGTTTTGAAGATGCCTCTTTTCGCGTCCTCGCGACGTCTCAGAAGGAACCAAGAAGCCACGGGTTTTCAATCACTGCCACTGCGCTGGGCCGCACGACCCCCTCGCGCCGCGCGTCGGCATCATTCGAACGCCCTGGCGCGTGGGCTGGGGGTGGCGCGATCCGTGCGAAGTAGCAGCATGCGGGCCGCGCTCGCTCGTCGGCCGCGCGCGCATGTCCAACTCCCTCCAAAACATGTATCACCGACGCGAGGGCGCCGTCATCGTCGTCGGCGTGATCAGCATCGGCGCCGTCACTGGCCTTGCCGTCGTGGTTGTGATCATCGCCGCCAGCATCTCTAGCATCATCATCGCGTCTACCGTTGTCGACGTTACCATGATACCGCGCCCGCCCAACTCGACGATTCGCACGGAAATGCCCATTGGGAATTGCCCAGCGGTCAGCGCCACCGCGGCCGCGTCGCGCGAGCCACTGCGCGCGCGAGCATGCGCAGACTAGCGCGCATCAACATACGCACCAGCAGCCTCCAAACATTCACTACAATCGCCGCCGCATGGGCTTTGCAAACCAGTTGCGGGTGGGTGGGTGGGATGGTTTTGCGGACAGTGGGGTGGACAACTATCTGCGAACAGGAATCAAATACACCCAGAATTTGCATTTCATATTTTGCGCCATATAGATTCTCCCTTCTTTACTTTAAAAATATATGGACTCTACCCCCTCCCCCCCGGCGTTATCACTCCCCCCGCGTCCTATGTAAATCACGTATGATTCTGACCACATGTCCATCCTAAATATGAAATCGCAATGTCCCAGGCAAACCATTGTCCCCCCCCTCCGGAGGTTCCCTTGTGAAGAACACTATGCGGGGACATCTTTTGTTTAAACATGCCATTTGTTTCAGGAATCCCTGGCAAAAATGAAACGAAGTGCACACGCGCTCGCCGTCGCGCGTGCATGCCGAAATCCTTCAAACATCTTCGGTGTCGGAAGGATTTCGCCATCGAGTTTCCACAAAAAAAAAAAAACATGCCAAAACACATGGTTTCGCAACATTGATTTGCTAAACAAGCTTACGCGCGAGCTCTTGCGAAATCTTAAGCATTCCATAGGTTGTTCAATATTTCCACAAGTTGCTACCAAACGGGCTTCGCGCGCGCATGTCAAAATCTGTCGAACGCCCTTGCGCGTGTGCCGACGCGAGAATCCGTTGCAACAAATGGGGCGACGTGCGAACGCGCGCGTCGTCGCGCGCGTATGCCGAAATCATTCAAAACCCATCGGCTTCGGAAGGATTTCAACATCGCGTGTCCAAAAAACATACAAAAACACAAGGTTTCGCAACACGGATTTTCAACAAAAGCGTGCGCGCGCGCTTTTGCGTCGTCGTCGTCGTCGTCGTCGTCGCCGTCCTCCCTCCTCCAGCGTCGTCGCCGTCGTCGTCGTCGTCGCCTGCGTCGTCCTCTGCCTTTCCTCGTGCTCTTCGTCGTCCTCTTTGGCGTCATGGTCGTTTCCGTCGTCGTTGTCGCCGTGGTCGTGCGTCCTCCTCCTCCCTCGTCGTCGTCGTCTTCCTCCGTCGTCGGCGTCTCGTCGTCGTCCCTCCTATTTCGTCGCCATCGTCGTCGTCGTCGTCGTTGTCGTCGTCGTCGTCGTCTTCCCTCCTCCCTCGTCGTTGTCGTCATCGGCGTCGCCGTCCGTCCTTTTTCTTCGTCGTTCGCGTCGTCGCCGTCCTCCGTCCTCCCTCGTCGTCGTCGTCGTTGGCGTCGTCGAAGTCGTTGGAGACGTCGTCGGTGTCGTCGTCGTCGGTGTCGGCGGCGCCGTCGTCGCCGTCGTCGTCGTCGTCGTTGTCGGCGTCGGTGTCGTGGCCAAGTGCCATGTGGTACCTACCGTCACGGTCTTGTCTTAAGAGGTCATGCGACCAAGTTGCGGGTGGGAGGGTGGGATGTTGGCACGAGCAGTGGAGAGGACAGCTTCAAGACGGTCAAAGTGAATTGCACGACATAGGTTGCACCACGCGCCATATCTCATGCACAACACATATTGCGCAACGTAAAAATGCGCCGCATCGATTGCACCACGTACATGGCACGACATACAACGCCCCACATACATTGCACACACATGCGACTAGAATATCATTTGAGGCCCATGCTGACCATCATTTACTCAATCACCGTGGTCTCGCCTGCAGACGGCCACGACCCCCTGTAAACTACACACTGCGGTGCACATGGTAAACCCCTGTCCTGGCTGCTCTCATCCCTGTCCCACCTTTTCCCTCTTGCTGCTGTTCGGATGCTTTTCTGTGAACATTGGTGTCGCTACGAGCCATCCCATGCCCGAGAGCGCGAGGCGGGATACCCATGCAGCGTCCCGATCCTGGGGGCCTGGCGGCCGCAGCAGGCAGCCGTGACGCGTCGAAGACGCGAGGCTGGACACCCAGGGAAAGGACCCCAGGGCCCTCGGGACCTGCAGGCTGCTGTCTGCAGGGTGTGCGAGGCGGGTCGGGCGCGCTATTCCGTCAAGGCTAGCAGCCCCAACCTGTCAGGTGGGGAAACAAAACGATCTTCGGAGGTCCGAGAGTGTGTGTGTGTGTGTGTGTCTTGCGCAGCTGTCTTGCTCGTCCAAAAGGAGCGTTTGAAGGTCATATCCAAGATGATGACCGCGGCGCAGTACTGCGGCTCTGGCGACAACACCCTGGCCGCCATCGAGCGGGCCTGCGAGCGCATCGAGGCGTCCGGGCCCGCGGACGACTATTTCGTCTTCGCGTTCTCGGACGCCAACTTCGCCCGCTACGGCATCTCACCGCAGGTTCGGGAGCGCCGGAAGGGGGGCATTCCCTGACATTCTCACGTCGTGGAGAAATTCTGGGCGAAAGGTTCTTGACAGTTCTAGGCTGCCGGGGAGCGGAGGTTGCCAGACCTTGACGTCTTCGTGTCGCAGAGAATGTCACGGCGGAAGGTTCTTGGCAGTTGTAGGCTGCCAAAAATCGGAGGCTGCCAGACCTTGACATCCTCGCGCCGTGAACACGAATCATGGCGGGAGGCTCTTGTGATTGTTTCGCCTCCAGGGGCCCTCTCGGGGCCCCCGGACCGTCGAAAAGGCGACTCAGGATGAGACGCCGGTCCCCAGGAAGAGGCTCAGAACTGTGGGGATCCACGCTGCGAAAAAGTCAAGACGCCGGATGTCTGGGGCGAGGGTGACGGGGGCGAGGATGACGAGTCAGGAAGTCTGGGGCGAGGGTGACGGGGGCGAGGACGACGCGTCACCCTCCTCGTCCTCGTCGACGTCCTCGTCGTCCTCCTCCTACTCACCTCCTCTTCGCCTCCCTTCTCCTCGCCCTCGCCGTCCTCGCTTTCGTCGCCCTCGCCCCAGGCATCCGATGTCGCGCTTTTTGTTCCGCGAGGCGGCTCCCCCAGAGGTCTGGGCCCCCTCTCAGGGACAGGCTTCTCGCCCCCTGGGTAGGTCGTGTTGGGACGGACCCCGCGATCCGACGTTGCAGAAAAATGGCAGCCTCGCGAACAAAAACTCGCCACCCTCGCCCCAGACATCCGGCGTCTTGGCTTCTTCGCCGCGTGGCTCCCCACAGGCCCGGGCCCCTCTCCCGGGGACTGGCTCCTTGCCCCTGGGTCGGCCGTGTTTGGACGGACCCCGCGATCCGACGCTGCCGCAGAGAGGGCAGCCTCGCGACAAAAAACCGCGACGGCAGCCATGTGCCGCCACCCCAGACCCCCGACGTAATGATTTTTTCGTTACGTCGACCCCCGTAGGTCCCGACCCTTTCTCCATGACCGGCTTTGCATCCTGAGTCGTTGTTTGACACTCCCGAGGCCCGGTGAGGGCCCCCCGAGGCCGAAAATTCGGAAAAACCTCCCGTCATGATTTTTTCAAAACTCGAGGGGGTCTGGGACTGCCCGTGCCGGCCTCCGAGCCGCAGCGGGCCGCGAGGGCCCTTTGGCCCCGGGACGTCGGGGCACGGCGCCCTGTGGGGAGCCAGGGCGGCGCCCGGAGCCCGGGGGGCCCCGGGTGCCCCCGGGAGCCTCGAGGCGGGGGTCGGTGCAGAGATCCTCGCGGGCGTGCCGGAGGAGGAGGAGGAGGAGGAGGAGGAGGAGGAGGAGGAGGAGGAGGAGGAGGAGGAGGAGGAGGGAGCATCCTGCCTGGGGATCCTTCGCGCTGGCCTGGGCCTCTGGGCGCAGGGTCCCTGCAGGAGCCTGCAGGGCCTGGCCGGCCCGGATGCCTGCGGGCTCTTGCCGGGTTCTGGCGGACGCCCCGTATAAGAGGAGCAGGCGCAGCGCCCCGAGAGGCCGAGAGGCCCCGGGGGTGCCCCGCAGGAGGCCCCGCGGAGGCCTGAAGGTTCCTGGCAGTTGGCCGTCGCGGTGCCTGCAGGGCGCGAGGGGGGGGTCTCTGGCGCCCCGCCCTGCGCGCGGGCGTCTTCTCTCGTGCCCGGCTCGATGCGGACTCGGACTCGACGCGGGTTCGACGTGGATTCGACGCGTACAGTCGGGGCGCCGAAGAAGGAGCCCTTTTTCGTTTGGGAGGGGCTCAGCGATCCTCAGTTGCTTTTGCGGTTCGCCTCGGGTGTTCCTTCAGGCTGTCGATGGGACATCGAAGCTTTACTTGTGGAGCAAGTTCGCCTCGGGTGTTCCTTCAGGCTGTCGATGGGACATCGAAGCTTTACTTGTGGAGCAGAAGGGGCCTCGTTCCTTCTTTGGGGCTCCTGGGGTCAACGCCCCGACTGTATTCGACGAGTCCGACATGGATTCGGCACGGACTCGGCGCAGACAGGGGCGCGACGGGGACAGACAAGGCCCCCCCCCGAGTATGCCAAACCCTCTCTCTGGGCGCCCCTCGCAGGCGCTGGGCAGGACGCTCGCTCGGCACCGCTCGGTGAACGCGGTGTGCTTCTTCATCGCGACGTTCGAGGACGAGGCGCTGCTGCTGGCGCGGCACATGCCGGACCGCGTGAAGCTGTGCCTCGACCTGAAGGCAGATCGGGCGGATGGTCAATCAAAGCCCGGGATCATCAGGGCTAAGTCGGGTCAGGGCTAACTCGGGTTCGTTAGTCGGGATTCCGAACCCGAGTTACCCCGGACTAGAGTTGCCCCGGATAATTCGGGCGTGCAGAGCCCCAAACCATCATGGGTAACTGGGGTCAGGGCTAACTCGGGTTCGTTTTTCTTTTCGGGAATCCGAACCCGAGTTACCCCGGACCCGAGTTACCCCAGATACTCCGGGCGCCCAAGTTACTTGGGGGTGACCTGAGTGAGTGGGGGGATGACGAAGGGGGCCCCAGAGAAGCCCTTTCTGGGGCCCCTCTTGGAGCCCGCAGGTGGCGAGAATGGGGCCCGGATGGGCAAATATTCAAACATAGTTTATACAATATAGACTCGGGACGATGTTTTGATCATGGTTGGCCATTCTAGAAAATGTGTTTGGACTATTTTTTATTTTCCTCCAAAATCCGCCTGTCGGAGGAGGACATGCCCGACCTAAGGCTACTTGTTCGACGCGGAGATCCCCAGACGTGCATTTCGGTTCCTGGCGCTTCCATCCGTCAGCGTCCGAGTGCGAGAGTCTTAGCCTGTGGCGATGGAAGGAACCCTTGCGGCTCCCAATTGGAGCGCCCGAGTGCTATGCTTAAGTCGGGCGTCTCCCTCTACAGGAGGAATATTCAAAAATAGTCAAAACTAGTCTGGGGACGGTTTATGAGTATTATTTGATCATGTCTGAATATGTTTGACTCTTTGTAAGTTTTCGTCAAAAAACCGCCTGTAGGGGGACATGTCCGACCTGATGCTATGCCTCTTGTATCGGGCTGCTCTTGCGGTTTTGAAAGGAGAGGAGTCGGGGGATGACTACACAAGCGTGTCGTGTGACTCGCTTGTGACATCCTCACGGTCCTCTTTTGAGAGCAGAGGAGCCCCAGCCACGGAAAGAGCGCCTCGCTCAGGACTTCCTCACAGTCTGGCCGCCGACGAGCGAGTGTAACATCTCCTCGCGGCTCCCCCATCGGGGTGCTAAAGCACGCGCCTCGCTCGAGACGTGCTCACGATTTTCGCCGTGGGGTACGGGCCACGGCACGAGCAAGCCGCGAGGGAAGAACTCCTCACAATGTGGCCGCGAACGGGCGAGTGACGCACCCCCTGGCTGCTCCCCCTTCGGGGTGCTCAACAGACGCTCGAGACTCCTCCTCCTCCTCCTCCTCCTCCTCCTCCTCCTCCTCCTCCTCCTCCTCCTCCTCCTCCTTCTCCTCCTCCTCCTCCTCCTCCTCCCTCCTCCTCCTCCTCCTCATCCTGGCGATCTGCTCAGGGAGCAGGCCGCGGACGAGCGAATGTAACACCCCCTGGCGGCTCACCCCCTGGGGTGCTAAAACAAGCACCTCGCTCGGGATATCCGCACGATCTGCTTTGAAAGCAGAGGGGTGCGGGCCACGAAGCGAGCAAGCCGCGCGAGACCTCCGTACTATCTGGCGGCGGACGCGCGACTGTAGCACCCCCGGGCGGGTCCCCCGTGGGGTGCGAAGGCAAGCGCTTCGCTCAGGACATCCTCACGACCCGCTTTGAAAACAGAGGAGTGCGGGCCACAAGACGAGCAAACCGTTTGAGGGTATCTGCGAATTCTGGTCGCGGGCGTGCAGGTGCAACACCCCCTGGGGCCCCTTCCCCCTTGCGGTGGAAGTGCGCGCCTCGTTCGGGAGATATCATCACGAATGTGCTCTGGAGGCAGAGGCGCCCCAGGCCCCGAAGCGAGCCAAAGCTGCTGGAGACATCCCCGCAGGCTGGCCACGGCCGAGCGAGTGCAACACCCCCTGGGGCTCCCTCGGGGTGCTACAACCCACGCCTCGCTCGAGACATCTTCACGATCTGCTCATAAATCTCGGGGGTATTTCAAATCTCTCATTAATCGACCCTCCTAAAAAAACCTGACCCCCCTCCAAATGCGACCTGACATTCCGGACCCCCCTCTTCGACGAGGCGCCTTGATGAGCCGGAACCCCTGAGCTCCAGTCCAAAGAAAGCGCCCCAATAAACCGGACCCCCCCAGTTACACAAAAAAAGGCGACTTAAAAAACCGGACCCAGGGGACGATTGATATGGGACCTGGAGTGGGGGCCACGAAACGACTAAGCTGCGTGAGACATCCCCGCCATCTGACCGCCAACGGGCGAGTGCAACGCCCCCTAGCGGCTCCTTCCCTGGGGTGCTCGAGTGTTCTGCCTGCGGCAGCACGGCGATCGTGGGGTGGGTGAGTTTGAGCGTGAGTGAGTCTGAGTGTGAGTGGGTCTGCGTGGGGAGTCCGCGTGGATTGTCCGAGTACGAGTGAACTGAGTCTGAGTGTGAGTGGGTCTGATTCGGAGTTTTCGTGGCGTGTCTGAACAGCAGCGGACTGAATGTAGGTGAGTCTTGGTATGAGTGAGTCTGACTATGAGGCCGAATGGGTAGGTGGGCCTGAGAGTGCGTCTGAGTGTGAGTGAGCCTGAGTGTAGGTGAGTCGGAGTTGAGTCAGAGTGCGAGTTTCTGAACATGAGAAGTCTGAGTATAATGATGAAGGGGGGCGGGAGGGAGGCGAAGGCATGACGCCACTAACAAGAATCGCATACGTAAGACATTGGGGAAATAGCACCTGGACCTCGACATCTGAGCCCCATTTGAGGCATAAAGCAGCCCAGACAAGCCTATAGGTCAGAAGGGGTATCTTTTAGCACTCTGGTAGGTCAGGGGCTATAGCAGGACTGTTCGATCTGTTTTGCATTGCATTCCTGGAGATGCGGCGTGGCAGAAAAACAGTATCGCGAGACATCGGAGCCGCTGCAGTGTGTAGCGTGTATAGTGGAGGCCCATGCC